TAGAAACATTAAGAATTTTGTACTAAGTAAATAGATTTCGTATTTAGTTAGCATTATATTTTATTGAAACGCTTCAAGTTCTCAAGAGTGTACGTCATTCTATCGATAAACAAATGAACAGGTTTGTGACGTCATTGAAGATGGTGAGGCGCATATTTTGTATAGAAATTCATCTCAGGAAGCTATTCAATGGTAAGTTGATAAGACTGATGTTTGTAGGGTCTATATCATTGCTTTTATTATATGTATTTGCAGTGAAAATAATTTGAAATTAGAGTCCAATTACGAATGCTGCGCCATGAATGAAATTTTGTCATCGTTATCTGATCTGATATCGTTATCGTTATCTGATGAAATCGGAACATCTATTCTTGAATCGCCGATTGTTGACAGCGTTACGGTTGATACTGATAATGATATAGCGCCGCAGGTAAACGAACGCGGGCTATAGTACTGCACGAAGGGTCGTTGTCGTAACAGGTACTACAGATATGTACCCGAGGTAGTTTTAGGTTGTTTAGTATTATGTTTATATTTTATATGAGGTATGTTTAGGTTAGGTTAGGGTTAGTAGTTAGGGTTATGGTTAGGGTTAGGATAGGGTTAGTGTTAGGTTAGGGTACACTTCTGTAGTACAAGTCTGGTACACTTTGTGTATACATATATGTACCTCGGGTACATATCTGTAGTACCTGTTACGACAACGACCCCTTGAGCTATAGTACTAGAGCTAATACTGATAGTGATACTGATATTAATACTGATAAGCCTCTTTCTGTTACTCGGTTCTACCCTAAGACAAGTGTAATGATTTGTGTCTTGCAAATGTATTTACTATTGTATTGCAAACGATTTGTATACTTGCAAATGCTTAGCTGCAACTCAGGTGGTAATCACCAAAGCCAAATATCAAGTACACTTACTTATACTTTTATACTATAGCTCTACTCTAGTCTAGTACTACTACTACTACTAATACTACTAGTACTACTACTACTACTAGTAACTAGTACTCAGTAGTAGTAGTAGTAGTAGTACTACTACTAGAGCTAACTTACTTACAGTTAGATGTCATTACTTTTTATTAAAACTGCATACCTAGCTTTTTCTTCTTCCTCATCCTCCTCCTCCTCCTCCTGCTCAGGAGCAGGTAAGTTAGCTCTAGTAGTAGTACTACTACTACTAGTTACTAGTAGTAGTACTAGTAGTACTAGTAGTAGTAGTAGTACTAGACTAGAGTAGAGCTATAGTATAAAAGTATAAGTATAAATATATAAGTATAAAAGTATAAATATAACCGGACTGCTCCTGCTCTTGCTCCTCCCCCTCTTCTTGCTTCTGCTGCTGGTGAATATGATGGTGATGATCGATGCTGCCCTCTCCCTCCTCCTTTTTCTTTTCGTTGTTGCTGTCATTGTTGTTGACAATGTTGTTCTTCATCTTCTTTCTTCTTCTTATTCTTTACCCCCTTTTTATGCTTTTATTCCTTCGCGTTCTAAGAAAAATGGCTGCAGCATCCCTCAGAGCCGTCCTTCGTTTTTTTTTCCAGGCGACAATGGCAGAGGATCTCCTCTCGTACTCGCGCCATATGTCTGACGCCGCGATCGCGTAGAGGAGGCCTACGTACGTCGCGATGGTTCTAGAAGCGGGCTTGCCCTCCCACCTCGTCGCCGCGGCGAGTCCTGAGGCGGAGCTGAGACTGCTCGAGGCGCTCCAGTCTCAGCTGCTCCCGCCGCCTCGCGAGTCCCTAGAGGATGACTTTCTCGAGCAGCAGTGGCTTGCGATCGCGTCATCAAACGCCGACGACAATCCGTTCGTCGGCCACTCGCTCGTCGAGTTCTTCTCGGACGCCGAGAGCCTGCAGACGTTCACTTGTTACGTGTTCAATCGTCGCTACGGCTGGTCGGAGGCGGGCAGTCCCCAGAGACGCCGCTCAGTGCCTCAGAAGACGAAACTGAAGACGTCCTTGAATGAGCTTCTAGATGAGCTTATCAAATGGTGAGCTGTTAAGCCAGGTGTCATGTTCAGATTGACGTCCGAATGTGAATGAGAATAGTGTGCTACTCACAGTAGCGTACGTGGGAGATGTCGGAAGAGCCGGACACATAGCCACTTTGTACTTACTATGATTTCTTCCTTACTAATTTCCTTCCTACGGTACGTTACTCACAGAATAACATTCATAACTAAAGTATTTCCGTGTGTGTGTGGGTGCGTGCGTGTGTGCCTGCGTACATGCGTGCGTGCATGTGGGTTGTGTATGCATGTGTACGTGCGTTCATGTGTGTGTGTGTGTGTGTGTGATGGTGTGCTGTGTGTGGTGTGCGTGCGGGCGTGCGTTGCGTGCGTGCGTTGCGTGCGTGCCGTGCGTTGCGGTGCGTGCGTGCGGTGGTGCGTGCGGTGCGTCGCGTGCGTGCGTGCGTCTGCGTTGCGTAGCGGCTCGTGCGTGGTGGCGTGCGTTGCGTGCCGATGACGGTGGTGGCTGCGTGCGTATGTCTTTTGTGTGTGTGCGTGTGTGTAGACGCACACACGATGGCTGTTTTGTGCATGTATAGCGTAGAGTCTCAGATAGCGAAGGCAGTCGTGCGTCTTTTTCAATGACTCATGTTTGTATTGATCGGTCGATTTTACTCCAACGACTGATGATGCAATGCACTTATTTCAGTAAAAAAATTCATAGATTGTGTGCCCGATTTTCATTTCTTACTTCTTTAACTTGACGATTTTATATAAAAAAAAGGGACACTTCCCAGGCTTTATAACCGCAGTTCTCACTTCCAGGGGCACGGCATTCTCAACGTTGGTAAAGTGTATTGCGTTACACGAGCTTTCTACGAAGTACGTACGCAACGCTCGTAGGTGCGATTCGATCAACGCAGCGGTAGCAACTGCGTATGCAAATGTTGATGAATTCCAGTGTATATCACTACGCCAATCGTGGCTGCTGGCTGTTTGAAGGCCCGTGCTAGCATAAACCAATTCACACTGTCGGCATACCCGATGAGGAACCAATAACTGACGGCCTCTCTGCATATGGCTCTTCTAGCTCTGGCTACATGAGTGGCTGGGGAGATGTGCATAGTGTCCACATTTTCGGTTTGTCATGATTGCGTTCAACACTCATGAAAGCGCCGACCGTACCGTTTGCGTGCGTGCGTGTGTAACGCTTACACGTGCGTGCGTCGTGCACGTACACGTGCGTGCGTGCGTGCGTGGTGTGTGCACGTTACACGTGCGTATGTGCACAGTCACGTACGTGTAGTAGCTGGTGCACGTACACTGGCGTCGCCGTGGTCCGTGTGTACGTACACGTGCTAGTGCGTGCGATGTTGTAGTACACGTGCGGTGCGTATCGTGTCGCTGCGTTTGTGTACGTAAGCACGTGCGTTTCGGGGCTGTGCGTGTGTAACGTACCACGTGCGTGCGTGCTGTGAGTGTGTGCGTGCGTGGTCACGTACACGTCGGTCGGCGTTGCGTATGTGTGGTGCGTAGTGTATGTACACGGGCCGTGCGTAGCGTGCGTGTGCACGTACACGGCGGAATGTGTACGTTACACGTGGTGCTGTGCGTGTGCACGACACGTGCGTAACTGCGTAGCGTGCTGTGCATGTGCCCACGTGTGCGTAATCGCGTGTGTGTGCACGGACACGTGCGTGCGTGCGTGCGTGCGTGAGTTTGTACATACACGGTCGCTGGTGCGTGCGATCGCGTGTTTGCAACAACGTACTTTTCTTGTCGCCGGGCGTGGAGGGGGCGTGTGCGTGCAATGTGCAGTTGCGTGGGCGGTGCGGATGTGTGAACGTACACCTACGAAGTGCGGGGCGTGCGTGTACCGTTACACGGGTTGCGTGCGTGCGGCACGTACACGTGCCGCGTGAGTGATATGTGCAGTGTGCGTGCGTGCGTGTGCACGTACACGTGCGTGCGTGGCGTGCTGTACGTACACGGTTGGTGCGGTCGGTGACGTCTTCGTGTGCGCTGCGTTGTCACGTACCAGCGTGCCGTGCCCATCCGCATGGTTGGATGTACGTACACGGCGTGCGGTGTGCACGTTACATGTTGCTGCGTGCGTGCGTTCTGCATGTGCACGTTGACTCGTGCGTATGTGTGCACTTACACGTACGTGCTGTGTGCACGTACACGTGCCGGTGCGTGCGATGCGTGCTAGCTGTACGTACACGGCGTGCGTGCTTGTGAGTGTGCGTTCGTGGTGTACACGGTACACGTCCCGTGCGGTGTTGCAACGTACACGGTACTACGAAATCGCTTATAACGAAACAATGCCAAGGGGTTGAAGCTATGAAAAAGACAGCGTCAGGCGCCGCCAGTGTCTGTGTAGTATGATAATTTTTATTTTTTTTGCCCGTTGAGTGAGTAATTTTGTATAACTGTTTTCTCAAATAAAATATGTATGTGCGGTTATTGCTGGAAAACACCTGACGGAAATTGCGAGTGGTTTTACCGGCACCTCGTCAGCCTAGTGTAAAGTTTACGCAAAGTTTACGTAAATGTTTAGCTTGATGAATCGCACCAAAAACGGCCTCGCTCTGCGATACGGCGAAAGTCGTACGCAAATTTCTATAAATAACTGTGTTGATGAATCCGCAACTAGACCAACGTCAGAGTTAGCGTACAAAGGATTGACGCAAAAAATATTATTTGGCTACGCAGCTTGATGAATCTACCCCAGTGGTTTTTAGGATCAATACAGCTTATACGAGAAAAAATCCCCAGTACGGTTGCTAGGGGCACAGGTGTTCCTCAGTATTTGATATTCCGCACTTTGTTACAATCATTACATATTGCTATCTGGTTAGTGCAGTGGCCAAAGCTGAAAAGAGCTCTATTTAAGGAGATCCCCTTACCGGAAAAACAAAGGTTTAACAAGCTGGGAACTGGTCTACATTTTAACCGGTTGATCTAGTTATGAAAAAAGCCATGTTGTGTGTTGTTGCAGCAAGCCATTGGCGCCAACATGCCGAATTAACCCCATTTTTACGGTAAAATCTGAAAAAATGACATTTTCAGTACTACTTGACTTTTTATCAACAATCCAGCCCCATCTATATTTTATTAAATGATGGTTTATATCAATGTATTCGTTGAAATAATATGTAGCGCAATGTATTGAGGCAGTTTTATGTCACTGCTAGGGGGTTAAGGCGCCAAAAATTAGACCCCAAAATTTGCCCATGTCTTGGCGATTTCGACCAAAATAATGTCTAGTTTTCTTGCACTGATTCAGCCAATACATGTTATAACTGTGTCAGATCTGACTGTATTCATGGGTCGGCATTAGTTTCAGCAATGGTTAAACGTATATTACAAATGGTCATTTGCGACAGTTTTGCTATTGCGACAGACCTTAAAAACGACTGTTTTGCAGTTTACTTGCGATATTTTATAAAAATCAGATCCGAACATGATGTTTAGAACGAGGTGGTATATTCAATGTTTTGTGATTGAAATATAAGATGAAAGCAGATGCAATTTAGGCAGTTCTATAGCTGTCTAAGGGGTAGGCCCCAAAAATATACCAAAAAAATCTGGCAATTTTGATGAATTTGTGAGCCACAAATAAAAAAGCTTTCCCATGACATACTGCCGACCAATACACTGGTACACAGTATCAAATAGGATACCTGACTGAAGGCCTAATCCATCCAGTCTGGGTGTATCTTCGAATAAAAATCAGTTGAAGCATGGTAAACGGGATACACATCGTACATTAACCCCCCCTCCCTAAGAATTTGGTTGCGACAGACCATTAAACACTACTTTGTTCAGACTTTACTGCATATGTTATAAAAATCACCATGCAGTGGTTTAGAACGGATGGTTATTCATAGTTTTTGATTGAAAATATAGATGAAGGCAATGCCATTTTAGCAGTTCTATGCTGTTTAAGGGGTCGTAAGGCCCAAAATATACCAAAGATCTGGCAAATTTGATAATTTTGCACAAATACAAGGCGTTCCATCAATTACTGCCCACAATACTATGGATACAACAGTATTATAGGATCTACCATGCCTGAAGGCCTATCACAGATTGGTGTATCAGTGGATATAAAATCAGTATTGAAGCATGGCTGAAAGCTGGGTACCAACATCGTGTACCATGTAACCCCTGTTGACAACAATGCTAAAATCGTTACATAACACTGTGCGGCATGACGGTGCAATAGCATTTTTCAACACAATCCATGTGCCCTTCTTTCTTCTTCTCGTATGGTGTTCCGATTTTCAAGTACAAGTACTATGAGACAAGGCATCGACTGTCACTCTAGGTCCGCAAGGAGACGAAGGACACTTCTCGCACTCAAGCAGTCTTTGTCTGGCAGGTAGAGATGGTCATGGGTCCTTGACTTCAACTGATACTGATGGCCTGAGTGAGGCACAACAACTCCAAGGCTTACCGCAAGCCTGCAGAGAATGCCAGAGCCCACTGTAACCTATCAAGTGCGAGGATGAAACGATCGGTAAGGTCATAATGAAGATTTATACTTGCACGAGAAAAATGCAAGGACCTGTGGAGATGGTGAATTCTAGCATTCCGGCGGCGAGCTGGAATTCACACGCTCTGGTCAGTACAAGGAACTGTCCCCGTTACTATCGTTCGATATCTACCCTTCATCAAAATGCCTCAACATCTGATTTGTCAACCATTTTTACACTTTACCACGTTACCACTACCGCCACCTGAGAATATCGGACTTCCTCGCAGGCTACTGGATCGGCCGTATCAATGTGTTATAGGAGATTTTCAATTAGCATAATGTTACCTGGGGCATCGGATATGCAGAAACAGGACGACAAATTGGTGCACTTGTGGAAAGCTGTCAGATGTAGATCAGCTGCTCGCTTATACATGACGCAAAGCTCCCCTGCTCTTTCAAACAGCTTCCAGATGAGGCGTGGATAGCAACCCTGACCTCGCGGTGTTTTTATCTACCAGCTATTGCTGGCAATGTGAGAAGGTTGTCCTGGACCAATTAC